ATGAAATAGGAAGATTTAGCTTATACAACATGTTCCTCATCCCAGTGTTCGGTGTTTTATTACTGATTTTCATTCTTTCTTGATCCATCAACTTTCAGCACTGTCTCTTAATGAGGATATTAATACATCTGATTGGAAATACTTATTCATCATATCCTCTGTTGGCTACACTTGTAATTTTTATATGTCATGGTTGTTAGTTACAGGATGAGTATGCCTTATCCAAACTGCTTGGGACCAGAAGCATTTCAGGTTTCAGATTTTTTAATATTTGCATTATACTTACTGGTTGATCATCCCAAATCTGAAAATCCCAATTCTGAAATTCTCCAATGAGCATTTCCTTTGAGCACCATGTTCCAGAGCTCAAAAAGTATTGGATTTTATAGCATTTTGGATTTCAGATTTGGGGATTAGGGATACTCAACCTGTATTTACAGTCAGGCTGTAACCAGCAGCAAATCCTCCATGTATGTTCATAGGTTGTTCCTAAAAAATTGAAAGCCCAATATATGACATTTACATTAGTATGACTCTGTAAACATTTCCTGTCAGGCCACCAACCTGATATATGCTAAGAATATATTTCTTTCTCTATGGGTCTGATGAAAACAGTTAATGGTGAACTATTTAGAAAGCAAGCTTTCATTTACTTTTCAGAGCTGGAATCTGTGAGCCATTGCAAAAGAATCTCTGAGCCATGGAAAAAGAATGTTCCTACAGCAAAGCCAAATTGATCCTTTGTTATATTCCATCAGTTGCTCAAAAATCATGCCACATCTTAGTTTGCTTTATATTTGCATTATAGCTCTTTAATACAGGTCCCCCCACCCCTGGCATTTATAATTGCCTTTCTTTTTTTTTTTCTACAATGTTTGGTTTTACGTCACCACTTACTTCCTAACTCTGTATTTAAACCTTTCACCTGAAACCTTTTTCCTAGAGCCTACCCATCTTTCCTCTCCAAGCTGGACTAGATTCTGTAAGCCCACGGTGCCATCCTAGAATTTCCTTTCATTGCTCATGCTTTTATTCCCTCATTTTTCCAAATGCACCCCCAAGTTAGTGCCTAAAAGAAGCAGTGTTAGAGTTCTTGCATATCTGAAAATTTTTTTCTGCTTCCATTATGGTGGAAAGTTTGAGTAACGACTTTTGGAAGAAAGTCATTGCTTCAGCCAGGCACGGTGGCTCATATCTGGAATTCCAGCACTTCGAGAGGCGGAGGTGGGTGGATTGCTTGAGCCCAGCAGTTGGAGACCAGCCTTGAGCAACATGGTGAGACCCTGTCTCCACAATCAATACAGAAAATTAGCGAGGCATAGTGGTGTGCATCTGTGGTCCCAGCTACTTGGGAAACTGAAGTATGAGGATCACCTGAGCCCAGGAGGTCGAGGCTACAGTGAGCCATGATTGCACCACTGCACTCCAGCCTGGGCAACAGAGCTGAGATGCTGTTTAAAAAAAAAAAAAGTAATTGCATCCTTGTCTTCTAGTATTCCATGTTACTACTAAGAAGTCAGATGCCACTGACTATCATTTTTATAAGTAATATACCTGGATTTTTTTCACTTTTAGAAATCATTAGCATTTTTTGTTGTTGTTGTTCCCCGTGCCCCATCCCCTACTCCCCCGCCCCAGATGAAGTCTTGCTCTGTCACCCAGACTGGAGTGCAGTGGTGTGATCTTGACTCACTGCAACCTCCGTCTCCCAAATTTAAGCGATTCTCCTGCCTCAGCCTCCCAAGTAACTGGGATTACAGGCACCCACCACCACATTTGGCTAACTTTTGTATTTTCGGTAGAGACGGGGTTTCACCATATTGGCCAGGCTGATCTCGAACTCCTGACCTTGTGATCCATGCACCTTGACCTCCCAAAGTGCTGGGATTACAGGTGTGAGCCACTGCGCCCAGTCAGGGTTGTGTTTTTATAAACTTAGTGCTAAAATTTGTAGTGAAGTGTGTAGTAGGCATCCCTTTTTTCCATTCAATTTTCCATTCAAGATGCTGAATACTTGCTAGGTCCCTTAGATCTGGAGACTGATGCCCTTCTTCAGTGCTGGAACTCTTTTATTTTCCCCTATCAACTTTGTTTTTTTTTTTTTCTGGGATGCTTGTGATTTAGATGTTGGAAGTGCTATTTCGATGATCTTTCTCTAATTCTTTTCTCAGAGTTTTCATTTCCTGTTTTCTGGATGATTCTGTTGACTTTGTTTTGTAACCCTTTTATTTCAACAGTCATACTTTGAGCTCACTTTTGTTCTCTGAAGATTTTTTTTTTCATAGTGTCCTTTACCTATTTATGTATATAATAATTCCATAGTAATGTCTTCTAAGCATATTCATTAGCGGTTAGATTTGTCATTGTGCTCTTCTGTTTTCTGAATTACCAGTGATTACCTTGAGACCAGGTTTTCTGTTTATCTTGGTCTTCTTCATGCTCTGATTCTCCTCATTTACCTGGCAAAGCTTGGTTTTCTGTTGACTTTTAAGAAAGACGCCCTGGGTGAGTGGGGAAGATAGGACTGTTTTGGTTTGTGGGAGTCTCACTCTATTCACCCAGTCTGGAGTGCAGTGGTATGATCACCGCTCACTCCAGTCTTGACCTCCTGGGCTCAAACAGTCCTCCAACCTCAGACTCTTGAGTAGCTGGAACCACAGTCTTACAGCAGCACACCCAATTAATTTTTAATTTTTTTTTTTTTTTTAAGAGACGGAGTCTCGCTTGTTGTCCAGGTTAGTCTTGAACTTTTGTTCAAGTGATCCTTCCACCTCTGCCTCCCAAAGTGCTAGAATTACAGGTGTGAGCCACCACACCCAGCCTAGGACTGTTTTCTACTACGTCTCTTTGTTAAGTGAGAATTTTAACTGGGGGTTCTGTGTGGGAAGGAGTGAGTATAGGTGTTAACTGGCAGAATTACTGGTAAGGAGGTTGAGAACCTGCTGTTAGGCTTTCAAATTCAAGAGGAGAATTCAACTGTAAGAGACCATAGAAACAGCTTTGCCTAGACAGACGATTCAGTTGCTTTGAAGAAGAGCTGTCTAGATGTTTGCCAGGTGAACGTGGACTGGCTGCCAACACTGAGAGACAGGACTAGTAGAGTTCTTGTAAATACAGTTTTAGTGGATCCCCCTGCTTTCTGCCTTGCTGCTGCTTCTGCTTCTTCCTGTTCCTGCTACTTCTGAGCCCAGAGCCTAGTAAGGATTTTCCTTGCATATAGTGGCTTGCAGCCACCAGATTTCAGCCTCAACCTACTCTGGTTCTCTGTCAGTTTCTAGAAATGTGTTTAAAATCTCATATTCATTGATTATGTTAAACCTATAATTATTTTTATGAAAGTTCTTCATGTTAGTTTTGTGCTTTTATTTCAGTTGGGTCTGGGGAGGAATAAGGAAAACAGGAGTATTCAGTAATTTCTCTGACACTAATAAATGTTATCTGGGATAAAATCAGGGCCACGATTTCTGATTTAATCACTGGTGAAAGACAAAGGAAAGGGTAGCCTCAATGAAAATGAAGTGGTTCTTAGGAAATCTGGAGGGGTGAGAATATACCCAAGTTAAAGCCCCTGATCTTAAAGAGAAGGATGTGGAGGGTAGTGGTTGAGAATGTGGGCTCTAAAGGTGGATTATGTGGGTTTACATTCCAGGGTTCCCTTTTACCAGCCTCATAACTACAAGAGTTATTGGACCTCTCTATCTTGGTCCCCCCCCCCCCCCCCCCGGTAATATAAAATGACTAATAGACCCAGCTGGGCACGGTGGCTCACACCTGTAATCCCAACACTTTGGGAGGTCGAGGCAGGCAGATACTTGCGGTCAGGGTTTCAAGACCAGCTGGCCAACATAGTAAAACCCCATCTCTACTAAAAATACAAAAATTAGTCCAGCATGGTGGTGTGTGTCTTAATTCTAGCTACTTGTGAGGCTGAGGAAGAAGAATCACTTGAACCCATGAGGCAGAGGTTGCAGTGAGCCAGGATCATGCCATTGCACTCCAGCCTGGGTGACAGAGTGAGACTCTGTCTCAAAAAAAAAAAAAAAAAGACACAACCATAAAGTTATTATGAAGGAAGTGAGATAATTTATCTAAAGCACCTCACCTAGCATGATGCCTGGTAAATGCTCAGTAGATAATAGAGATGTAGACAGATGGTACCTGACAATCTTGAATGAAATGAGACTGAAGAGAAACTTGAGGCTCGAGTAGAGAGGAAAGTGAGAAAGAACTTAGAGATGGAATCCGAAGCTGGTAATAAGCACCTGAGGCCAGTCAGATTGGATAATGCAGATATGGAAAGGAAGTAGAAGTCAGTGGAGATAGGGAAGGAGGGAGAGCCATAGCAGCCCTTGTTTGAACAGGTGAGGGCTGTGAATGACAGGAAGCTCAGAAAGCCCCTCTGTCCTTCCTTAAGAAAACTGAGAATTAGAATTGGGAATATCAGACTTCCTTTTTTGTTGTTTTGCTTTTTTCTAGCCTGGCCCCACTCTGCTTTTGGAGATGGAGTCTTGCTCTGTTGCCCAGGCTGGATACAGCAGTACCATCACAGCTCACTGTAACTTTGACCTCGGGCTCGAGCAATTCTCCGACCTCAGCCTCCCAAGTAGCTTAGGACTATAAGCATGTAGTTGTCTCACTGCCACCCCCGCCTCTTGGGTTCAAGCAATTCTCCTGCCTTAGCCTCTGGAGTAGCTGAGACTACAGGTGCATGCCACCACGCCCGGCTAATTTTTGTATTTTTAGTAGAGACAGGGTTTCACCATGTTGGCCAGGCTGGTCTCGAACTCCTGACCTCAGGTGATCCACTGGCCTCAGCCTCCCAAAGTTGTGGGATTACAGGCATGGCCAGAAGTTTAACTTGTAAATAAATGTTCTAAGCAAATGAAAACAGTATTGCCCATTGCCCATCTTTTTTTTTTTTTTTTTTTTTTTTTTTGGAGACGCTGTCTCGCTGTGTTGCCCAGGCGCGATCTCGGCTCACTGCAACCTCTGCCTCCCAGGTTCAAGTGATTCTCCTGCCTCAACCTCCCGAGTAGCTGGGATTACAGGTGCGTACCACAATGCCCGGCTAATTTTTTTTTTTAATTTTTAGTAGAGACGGGGGTTTCACTGTGTTAGCCAGGATGGTCTCGATTTCCTGACCTCATGATCTGCCCGCCTTGGCCTCCCAAAGTGCTAGGATTACAGGCATGAGCCACCATGCCCAGGCCAGTATTGCCTATCTTAAACACAGTTAAAGTAAGTTCTCACTTAACATTGTTAATTGGTTCTTGGAAACTGTGACTTTAATACATACATAAATACATATATATGGTTTTTGGTTTTGGTTTTGGTTTTGATAGAGATGGGGTTGCTCGGGCTAGTTTCAAACTCCTGATCTAGGCCTTGGAAGTTAAATATTTCTGTATGTATTGGTGGAAAGTAATTCTTGCAGATTTCACAAGCTTGCCTTTTAAAAACATAAATACTTCTATTTCCTGAGGTCTCTAAGCTTTTATACTTATAACTGAGAACTCCTTTCTAGGGCACATCACAATTTAGGGGCCACAGAGAGTTAATAGTTTCTTGTGATTAAAATCTGGGTAAGAAAGACTGGCTGTTGCATCCAAACCAACAACATGAGAAGATGCTTTAGCCAATAAATTCACTGGTTTATGATTAAAAATCAGGCAGTTTAACCTTGGAGGCATTTTTGTCATGGAGGGCTTAATACTGTGATTAGTTATCTGAACAGCCAAGTGCCTCTGTGGGTTCAGTTAACCGGCCTCCCACTCTGTATGTATAATTATTTCTAGTGCATACACATACTCTGCCGTAAAAGCTTACTTGGCCTTATGCGCCCCGTCATTCTGAGTTCTCTGTTTCATTACCAGTATCCACACACAGAGTTTCAGAAAGCCATTACCAAATAGCAGAACCACAACTCAGAATTTTAAATAAACTACACCTCTCTTAGCTCAATAGGACAGGGGACTTAGTTACATGCTATGCATTTCCCACACCCATCCACCCTTTCAAAACTTACTAAAACTGTATACATATATAAGCAAGAAAATAGGGCATTTAACTCAGATTGTGTTAATTTTTCTGTTACTTTAGCAAGGGGTAAAGAAAAAGACTATAGCAGACAATCTTTAAAATTTTTACCTTGAATATGGGTCCCAAGGTATATATGTATTTATTTGAAAAATGTACTGGTTGCTGCTGCTTTTTTTCTAGAGGAACTCTCTTCAAAGATAATGTTATTACATTACAGCTTGAATTATGTGTCCAAATATGCAGATGGCTTTTAAAAGAAAGCTGTATGCAGGGAGAGAACTCATGTAGTACCATTTTGAATGAGAGGTGTTAGCTGTAGCAGAATTGTTTTCCAGCTTGGCATTAACTGATAGTTCCTGTAACTGACAAGATTCAGCTCCACTTTTTCCTTGGCATCCTGTTGATAAACCTGTTTCTTTTTTTCTTTTTTTTGAGACGGAGTCTCACTCTGTCGCCAGTCGCCAGGCTGGAGTGTAGTGGCATGACCTCGGCTCACTGCAACCTCCGCCTCCCAGGTTCAAGTGATGCTTCTGCCTCAACCTCCCAAATAGCTGGGACTACAAGCGCACCCTACCACGCCAAGCTAGTTTTTGTATTTTTAGTAGAGACGGAGTTTCACCATGTTGGCCAGGATGGTCTCAATCTCTTGACCTCGTGATCTGTCTGCCTCGGCCTCCCAAAGTTTTGGAATTACAGGCGTGAGCCACCACGCCCAGCCGATAAACCTATTTCTAGAAGATTAAAATCGTATCTTAAGGTCTTGGTCATCATCCTTCCTAGAATAGCCATTGCAGTAATTAATGCAATGAAAAATAAGTTCATATTGGTGTTGGAGGAAGTAAGGACCAAGAGATGACAAGTGAAAGTCTGTGAGTAATCACTGAAGTGTAACTACAGGTAAGTTTTTACTTCACTGCAAACCAGGAGAAGCATGAGTTCTGACCCTACTGTTGATTACCAACTACAGCCATGTTGTCATGTACTTTCCCATCAGACCTAAGCAGTGTCAGCATTTCTGGGAAAGAATTCAGTAGGCACTCTAGCCACTTATCTCTAAGGATAGCTGCTCTGGAATATAGTTAGGGATTTTTCTTCTTTTAACATAATTTCAGACTTTAGAAGTTATAAGAATATTTCCTAAAATTCTTAGGTACCCCCCCAACCCAGATTTTCCTAATGTTAACATTTTATCACATTGGCCTTATCCCTTTCCCTCTTTGTGTCTGTCTGTATACATGTATGTATACGTATTATATCCATATCCCTGACCATTTGAGTAAGTTGCAGACATGATACCCTTTTATACCAAAACTTCAGTGTGTAATTCTTAAAATCAGGGAATTATTTTACATAGCTACAGTATAATTGTCAGAATTGCAAACTTAACACTGATATATAGTTGATTTTTAATATGGTGGATCACAATGGTGGACATCTTGATAAATAATAATTCTTTTAGTGAAGATAGTTGAATTGAGGTTACATTGTTAGATAGTTGCTTCTCTCATGGTTCAAATACATACTAAAGACAATTTTCATAATAATGGTTTTTATGCCGAATTCCTTGCTTCTGATTTTTCAGCATCTCATCTGGGCACTCTTTGTCATAATATACCAGAAGAAATCTAACTTTTGGTTCATTTAGCATCATATCACATGAGGTGCTGAAGTTATTTATAAGCTTAAGGATTTGTCTTGAAAGCAGTGAGTCAAAAGACTAAATTTTACCAAGGTGGGCAGATCACATGAGGTCAGGAGTTCAAAACCAGCCTGGCCAACATGGTGAAACCCCATCTCTACTAAAAATAACAAAAATTACCCAGGCATGGTGGCAGGCACCTATAATCCTAGCTACTTGGGAGGCTGAGGCAGGAAAATTGCTTGAACCTGGGAGGCGGAGGTTGCAGTGAGCCTAGATCGTGCCACTGCACTCCAGCCTGGCAACAGAGCAAGACTCCCTCTCAAAAAAAAAAAAAAAAAAAAAAAAAAAAAAACCACCTAAATTTTGGGTGAAAGAAACTAAATGATAGGTAGGGAGAGGAACTGAATTAAGCTGATGCTAAAAATAGTTTAAAAACAAATCAGCTATTTAATTTTAGCATCTACTCAGTTATGCATTCAGGCTGAGTTTTTTAAACAGCAAAATATAAACGTTCAAACATTTCCCCCTTACATTAAACCTGGAGCACATCCCACAGGATGACAGTCTCTCACTGCTAGATTGCCATCATTAGCAGCTTGTCCTGTTCCAGAAATCATCTTCCTCCTTTCTTCTTTCTTCTTCCTTCTCATCTTCTTCTTCCTCCTTCTTCTCCTCTTTCTCCTCCTCCTCCTCCTCCTCCTCCATCTTCTTCATTCTTCATCTTCATATTATTGTTGAGTGCCAGTAGAGTACTGAACATAGCTGATTCTGCCCCCACCCAGAAAGCTTGCATTATAAATCAGACAGGCAAAACATTTGGAAGATCAGAAACACCCACGAGTAGGGTACTTAGGCTTCATAAGGGTGGGATAATTTACATGGGAATATCTTGACTTTTTGTCTGTATGTATGTTTTTAATAAAAATTCAGAAAATTTACTTGAATTAGTGTCTCATTCATCTTTACCCATTTCCCCACCTCACCCCTACACTCAGTGTTTCTCCATAAAGGAAATCTATTTTCAGTCTTTTTTGCAAAGGACCCGAGGCCAGATTAGGTTAACCCCTGGGAAAGTCATCTATACTTAGAGACCAACGTGTTGGGGTACAACATTATTTGAAGACTTCTGGCCTGTCTCTTCCCTCCAGACCTGTCCAAATATAAGTCACCAGTAGGAGGAAGTGGCCACAGTTACAGGTACTGTCCAGCTGCCCAAAAGTTGTATAATTTTATAAGGCAGAATTTAAATACCTCTAGGCTTCATGTAACTACAGAGTAGGCAGGAGACTTACTCTGTATTTTTAGAAAGTTTAACTTTTTTGTTTATTTTTTTGAGGCAGAATCTTGCTCTGTCCCCTAGGCTGGAATGCAGTGGTATGATCTCGGCTCACTGCAACCTCCGTCTCCTGGGTTCAAGCAGTTCTCCTGCCTCAGCCTCCAGAGTAGCTGGGACTACAGGCATGTGCCATCATGTCCGGCTAATTTTTGTATTTTTAGTAGAAATTGGGTTTCACCATGTTGGCCTGTCTGGTCTCAAACTCCTGACCCCAGGCTATCCACCTGCTGCAGCTTCCCAAAGTGCTGGGATTACAGGCATGAGCCACTGCACCCGACTGGAAGTTTAACATCTAAATGAATGTTCTAAGAAAATGAAAACAGTATTGCCCATCTTAAACACAGTTACAGTAAGTCCTCACTTAATGTTGTTGATTGATTCTTGGAAACTGCGACTTTAAGGGAAATGACAGCAGGTCCTTAGATAACATCATTTGGTTATGACGTTATGAGAAAAAATGTTGGCTTTATTATATGTTGTTTTCCTTAAAGTCACAGTTTCTAAGAGCCTGTCAGCAACATTGAGAACTAAACTGTATATGAAAATAAATCTGGAGATATATATACTTCATGGACTTCTCAAGTTTCTCTTTCGGCAGATGAAAAATCTTGGCTGATTTTGCTTTTCTGATAAATACTGGAAAAGATAGTAGAACTGAAGTTCTGTCTAGTCTTAACACTGTAAAAATCTTTGCATTCTCATGGTCATAGACTGACTTGTGGCCAAGGAGCAGATTAAAATTAAGGGACTTGGGCATGTGGACTTTGAGAAGTAGATTTTTCTGTTAGGTTTTTCAGGTTTGCCTTACCTTAGAGTACTACCTTATTCGGTACTCCACTGATGCTATAAATGTAGTATGTTTAAACGTCAATGCATTGTAACGTTGAATTCCAAAATGTCCAAGCATGTTATAAAAAGGAAAGGTTATCTATTGAGGATCTTTTGTCAGTTACAATGAGAACTGAAAAATTGATGAGAAAAAAGTAATACAGTTGGACAGGCAGGAGAGGTCTTGCTAATATGGAGAAGCT